CAACTTTACGATCGCTGGAAGATCTTTCACTTTCTATACACCCAGAGAGAGAGAGAGAGAGAGAGAGAGGGTGAGAGAGGGAGACAGAGAGTGAGAGAGATCAGGTCAGACGCACGTTTGCGGACATTCCAATTAAAAATAGTTTTGACACTTCGCGAGTTGCGACAATTTCTTGATGCCGCGCCTGGGGCAATAAATTAATTACAAAATTGCCAACTCGGGCGGCGGCAGCGGCGGCGGCGGCTGCACATTTTATGGCCATGGCTAAAAATCAAATGCGTTGGCATGTGGGCGTGGGCCAAACAGGAGGATGTGCTACAAGCTTTGCAGCTCTTCATTTTGGCATCAGCTCCAAGCAGCATGTGTGTGTGTGTGTGTGTGTGTGTGTGCAAGTGTGTGTGTGGGTGTCACGTTGACAACAACAACGAAATTAAATTCCATGCGAAAGGGCACTTGGTGATAATGCAGCTCAGTCAGCAGCAGTCGCCTTTCTCTCTCGCAAAAATCTCCCAGCCTCAGAGCTCAGTGCGCTCTCTCTCTATCCCCCTCTCGCTGGCCCTGGCCCTGGCCCTGGCTACCTGCTGCTGCTGCTGCTGCTCTTGATCTACGCGCGCGCCTCTTCAGCGCCTGGAAATGCAGACTGGAGTCTAGTGTTTGCTTGCCTGTTGTTTGTAGACAACTCTCTGGCACAGCCAGCCAGGGTCTCCAGCTTGATGCAGTCGCTCAGCCTGAACGCCCCCGGTGCAGCAGCCGCAGCAGCAGCAGAGGCAGCAGCAGCTTTCAATTATTCACACTTTATCGAATCTGAGCGGAGAGGCGAGGGGTTTGGGCAGCAGCTTGATGTTAAATTAAATACTGCCGACTTAACCAGCTTCAAGTCAAGTTATTTATGCAAGTTTCTGCGTATTGTTTCGTTCATGTCAAATTATTGACCCGCACCAGGCGCTTTGAAATGTTTATGCGTTTTCATGACCGAGATGAGCAATTGATAAGTCCAGCTCGAAATTATGAATATGCAAGCGCGTCAGACAGCCAACCAAACAGTCGGACAGACAGACAGAGAGACAGACGGACGAGGAGAACAACAAGCAGCAGCAAAAACAACAACAAACGGCAGCCAACAGACACCGCCCGCTGCTTTTGGGCCTGGTCAGTAGCCATCACTAGACTTGGGCCACGTTTACACGTGACCATTTAATGCCCGAATACAATTTAAGAGATTAGCTAGCTTGTAACTAAGAGAGTACATAGTTATATGTTCTACTAGCTTGTGGTGCGTGTCTTTAATATTGCAGCTTGCGGGTTTTCACCCATTTTCCGCATGACTCGGCGAATTGTTGGCAATCGCTAAGATACATTTTAATCCAATTTGATATTCAACTGCCTTTGGCATCGATTCAAACCTTATATTTGTTTTAAATATATTAAAAAATTTAATTTACATTAGCAAATATTCATATTTAAGATCTCCAATAATTGCTGAGCTAAATTAATTGGACATTATTAAGAAAAACACGTAAAATGCTTAGAATATCAACAATTTCCCTGTCCCATAGCCTCGTACTGTTTCACAGTCGGAATCCTACTTGTAATTGTAATCATAAGAAATTCAGACTTATATACAAAACTTGTTAACTTTATTAATTTACATAGAAGTACAGCTGACCACATACTGTGATTAGACTAAAAAAAATGATTAAATAAATATAAAATATATTGTAAATGTTGATTTAAGTCGAACATAGTTCTAAAAACAATCTTTAAAACGTATTTAGCAACACTGAATTTCAGTCTATAGCATGGTCACACTGTTTTCTGTTAGTTTACACACTGCATACTTTATCAGGCTTTGGGCACACCGTGTAAACCCGTGTAATCGTTGCAGTGGGCAGCTCATCAACATGAGGCAAACACCGATGGAGGCATGGAGCGGAGCATCGGTGCAGTTGGTGTGTGAAGCATCCAACTGGGCCGCTGTGGCATGGCTGGCCATTTGTTTGTTATCAGGTACAAGCGATCAATACAGCAGCAATCAATATGGTCAATAAAGTTCGGCCCAGCCGCTGACTGGGTGCCTCACTCGCTAGGGAGTCACAGCGCTAGGGAGTCGCAGATGGAGTTGATGTTGCAGTTGGGGGTTGGCATTGGGAGCTGCGAGCTGGAGACAGCAACAGACGCAGATCGCTGCGTGGCCAGGCGCTGTGGCTGTGGCTGTGGCTGACTGTGTCACTTGGTTCGATACAAGGCAGCGTGATGTACACAGTTGAAACCCAAGAAGCCCAACTCACAGCTCACAGTTCACAGCTTGCTGTGTGTTGCAGCAACAGGAGAAGGAGGAGGAGGAGGAGGGGGGAATGTAGCTGGCGGTTGGCGGACGACGGTCGTCACTGGGCCCATGTTGTCACTGTTGTTGTCGCTTGATCGCAAATTTGCCATGGCAAGCTTGACAACTTGCAACCAGGCAAGCGGCAGCGAGGCAGAGGCAGACGCAGACGGGTGGCAGGCCGGAGGGGACCAATCCCAAGCCGGCACCTTAAAATAATGTTACAAACTTTTTGGCATGTAGCCCAAGTACGGTGCTCCAAGATCGGGGCCCTGTATGCGATTCAATTCGCTGCAGCGACGCACCCCTCGCCCAAAGCTCCAGGCAAAGCGATGCGATGCGATGCGACTCCACTTTGTTCGACTGGCTGCAGCCAACAGCGAGCAGTCAACAAATTGGAGATCACGGTTTTCATGTACTACATGCAAATTCATTGCTACTGTTGCTCTCTGTCCAGCCACAGCCACAGGCAGAGGCACTGGCACAGTCTGAGATCCAACTGCAGCTAAAGCTTAAGCTCAGTCTTGGTCTCTGTTTGGGCTGCCTGGCTACTGTGTATCTGTATCTGTATCTGTATCCATAACCATAAAGCCACGCTGCAGCCGGAAGAGCGCAAGTTAAATAAACAATCGCAACAACTAGCTGCTGCTGCTGCTGCTGCTGTTGGGGTCCACGGCTCGAGCAGACAACCCGCGAACCAACCAACGTAACCAAAACAACTGAAGTCATTCACAAAAGCAACAAGCAGCTAAATGATACCCTACACTTCAATTCGCCGAGCATTACAAATTTTAATCAGTCAATCAGCATTCTGCATTTTAACAAATCCCAAGCAATAGATTAAATGTAATCTAACTAGCAGTTGACTTACATTAACTAGATCTTAAATAGTTGTATCTCTTAACCTGGCACTAAAATCCGTTTCAATCTTAAGGCTTGAGGCTTAAGATTTATATGGCTTGAACTTGTCAAGTCTGTTATTATAATGAAGAACTGAAATAGTTGCCATTAACTAGAACAAAATTATAAAGAGATCAAAGACCTTGCACAACATTTCTTTAAATATTATTGTACTCAGGATAAATTTCTATAACAAATAAAATAAAATTATCCAAAAAATAAAAACCTCCTATCAACGAGTTGATAAATTCTTTTGCCTCTTTTCTATTTCCAAGTTATCACGATTTTTTTTAAAATATATTATACTAGCTCTCAATACGTTTCATAAAAAAAATAATTATATAAAAATTAATTTGTTAAATAAAATATACTAAAAAACATATAAGTAAAATTAAAACCAAGCTATCAAGAATTTCAGAAAGTTCGGAGAATTTTAAGCCTAACTTTTTGAATGCAAATAAAGCTTTTTGGCTCTACGCGCTATTTAAGTTATTCCTAATTATCGTATAACTTCTTTCATTAAAATCTGTTTTATTAAAGTGATATTATATTTTACATATAGTTAATCACAGAGATCTGAATATTACGCTAATAGAAGATCAGATCTCTTTCTACTCCAGTCGCTATAACGAAAGACTGATAAACCACCAAAACAGATCTGCACAAGCCCTTGTCGGATCTATTCCTATAAATAGACTGAAGAAAAGACACTTCGGTCTTTTACAAAACAATTAAAAACAATTCTTAAGAAGACAGCTTAGCCTTAACCTTATGTAGAACAGGAGAAAATAAACTAAGAAACAAACATTGTTAAATGCAAATTTTGAAGCATGTACATTTTTAAAAAACTCATATTATCTGTTAATATAATAAAGATTTTCCCATTTAAAAAAAAAAAAAAAAAAATATATACATAGTTGGGTTAAGCTTCGCTTATTCGTGCTGCTCGGAACAGGCCTTACGATTAATCGACAATCCCCGCTTAAATGAGGCCACTTCATACAAATTTAAAAATGTTTTTATTTCATTTACTTTGAACAAGAACTTGTCCCTATAAGCCACACGACCTTGTTACTATAAAACATATTCATAATCTTTCGCTAAAGATCAGATTCCAGCACCCAACAAAATATAAAAAGTAAAATAAACATGCGAATATGCGCCTTTGGGGCTTTTGCATGTAGATGTCTTATTGTATTCCATACACAAAAGACTTTTAAAAGACTTCTAGGCGTCTATATCCTTACAACTTTTGCCAATCAATGGACTCTTCTAAAGTAGACGTAACTGCATATGCAAAATAGCTAAACTGTTTGATCAGCTTGTCCGACTATCGAGTATTCGTCGCCTTTTTGGGTGCCCCGAGCAGCATTTAGCCACTGGCGACAGGAAACCACCAAAGGCCGCCTGCCAGCTGCTCCCCCCTCAAGTCCACGGCTAAGGAATCGCAGCGCACGTGGCTAACCTAGCTGACGGGGAACAAGCCAAAGTGACTGGGATTGGAATTGGGTTTGGATTTGGAGTTGGGCTTTGGTTCGAGGCTGCAACTGAGCTTGTAATACGAGGCACGGCCTAGCGTTGCAACAGCATCATGATGTACTAATAGAGGAAACACACACACACACACAGGTACACACACACGACTGCGACTGTCATTTCTGGCGCCATTCAGTGGGCGTTCAGTTTGATGTTACATTGATGGTACTGCCCCAAAGCAGCCGAAGGATGGCAACAACAAATTCCAACAACTAAGGAATAACCTAAACGGAATACTTACCCAGAGAAGCACAGGTGATGACTTGGCAATATGGACTCTAGACAACCTTCATCGATTATTGGTATTTGTTTATCTGGTGATTTTAGCATAAAGAATGCTCCAGGGGGCATCACATATCAACGGCGCGTCACATAGGAGCCGTCGCTACGAGTATAAACAAAAATAGAAAATAAAATAAAATTAAATTAAATCGAATCGAATCGAAGCTAAAGCTCGGATTTGATAGAATCTTACAAGGGGATTAAATTACAAAGTGCCTTCAAATCGATGAGCATTACATTGCTGGAAGAATCTTCCTCTTGTAAATTTCTCCAAACATAAATTTCGCTTTAATTGTTTAATTGATTTCCAAATTTTGTAACCCCTCGTACCTCACCTGTCTGCTGTGTATAAAGAGTTGTGCCCACTGCTGTAAACGATTTGCCACAGCTTGATCTAATTTCACATTCACTTCTCAGAATCTGAGAATCGCCGACCGAGCAACGCATTAAACCTTACAAAGCTCCCGACGATTACGAACTAACAACATTTCGATTGGAAGCCCACGACTTGACGCGCGATCGATTTCAGGGCTGCCAACTTGTCAATATGTACTGATATTTTGCATGATTGTATGCCAGTTGCAATCGAAAGAAAAACATGACATGTTGCTTATCAATCACAAGCAGACTCTAAGCGATATTCCTGCAATAGAATTGTTTAGCTCAATCAAGAAATGTACCATAATTTATGAAGAATACTTGAAGGAGCAAAGTAAAAAGTTTCCAAGCGTTATGCATATATCGATAATTGTAAACCTTTATATTTTTAAATAATTTTTATCATAGTTATATAAAAAATACAGGAAGAATGACGTACTTTATGGAAGATATAAATAATGGTATTTAATTCATGTATATTTTTATGTTATATTCTCAATACTCTATATCTCCCTTTATAGTCAAGAACTATGTATGTGAATACAAATGTCTTTTAAAGTACAAATTTTATTAATTTAAAAAAACAATTATTTATTTTTGGGAATCTCATTACGAAATATGCCCATAATAGACTGAATTAGTGACGTCACGTAGAAAAATAGGCATGCGTTTGCCTGCGTCATCTTTTTCACTTACTGAACAAATGCAATTGCAAATTGTAAACAAATTGAAAGATGTATGGACAAATTATACAAAATTCTTATAACTAATCAAACCGAAAAGTATCTTTGATCATATATATTTATACCATTCAGTTGACGGAGAGAGTGACTTTATACGTGTTGCATGAGAATGAGATCGAATGGTGAGTAAGCTCCGCAGGTTGTGGATCTGCATAGGCCAAATGGAAATGTCTGTCAACTCTCTGGCGAGGGTCTAACAATTTTGTGTGCCATTAATTTGCGGCATGTAGGCCATAAATTCCAGTTGCCGCTCGCCAGTTACAATGAAGAGCGGCCCGGAAACGCGGCTCGAGAAATTTGTAACAAACCGAAAAAAAATAAAGTAAAAAAAAAATAAATACAAAAACAAACATTTCCTGTGGGTTTTTTTTTGCCGCCGCTTTGTTGCACAGGTAGCGCTTTACTCTCTTGAGATTGACCTTAAAAATTATTTATATTTATTTTTATTTTGTTGTTAGAAAATCAAACAATTAACCTCGAACTTGCGCCTTGTTGTTGCTGCTGCCGCTGACGCTGCTCCGCGCTTACATGTTTGAGACATAAAAATTTCCAATTAATTTTTGTTTTTGGTTTTCGGTTTTTTTTAGTGGCAACGTCTACAAACTTCCACGGAACGCCAACAGAGACAGAAACAGAAACCAGAGGGAAAAATAACAAAATTGTCACAGCCGCCGTTTACAAATAATTTTTGTTTCTTTCGGCTCTTTGGGGTTTTCAATGGAAACGAAACTCATAAAACATGGCCAACAAGCCGGCCAAGCGGCCGCCACACAAAATACAATAAAAATCCACACACACACACACACATACGTTAAACGTTAGCCAGGCCGAGACCCCGCTTGCCGATCCAGCCCGCCCCACCCTCGGATCGCTCAGGCAACTTCAAACGGGAGCAATTAAAAATTGCTACATTTATTTTATTTTTTTTCTCTTTTGTTTGATAAAATTTGATGGAACACTTGACTAGCTGATACTCTTTCATTTTAGCTCACGCAAGATACTGAAGCCGCATCTTGTGAACATCCTGGACTAATACAGCCTAAGCTTGAAGCTTAGCATAGATGACCTTAAAGCTCAGCCATGGAAATGATCTGGAATCAAGCCAGGACGAACTGCGGGAACTTGGCTGGAAATGCATTATTTATATATTTCTTCGATTTGACTTGTGAAATACACATACTATATATATCAGAATTTTAATACCCCCTGCGATGTAGAAGGCCTGTGTCCATATGTGTTGCATTATAATAAGCTAACTAACAATCGCAATAGCTCTTAAATTCAGCCAATCCCAGCCGGAACTTAGCCAAGTTCTCAGTCCGGGCGGATATACGCATGTATTATATACCAAAACATTAACATGGGAGAGTTCAATAATAATTCTCTAATAAGCAACTCGTTTATACGTGCAACCCCCAGTAATTGCAGACACTGTTGCATGCCACATGTGTCCCGTTTGCCGCCACTAGTGGGAAACCACATTCGGCTCATCGAGCTGATAATAAATGTTCATTAGGGACGCTTGAAAGCGTCTAATTTTGAACTGAGCGAGGGTTACGTACGGGGGTTGCTCTGGTCAGTTGGTCGTCTGGTCGCCGGCTTGAATTTATTGCTAATAAATATCGACACGATGAATTCATAATTAATATTTGTGGTCGCAGATTTGCACTGTCGGGGCTTTGCCAACTGTCCGCTTCTCTGGCAGCCTTTATAGCTTTCTTCAAGATGCGCACTCTCACACTCACACTCACACCCACTCGCGCACACATATGTATGTGTACATATAATTTAGGCAAATATTTTAATTGCTTTTTACTCTGGCGCAGTCGGAAAATGTTTATTGCGGCCACGCCCACCGCCCACCTGCGCAGCTAAATGAGCAAAGCCTTTGGCCCCATTTGCAGTTGCGTATGATAAAATTTTATCGTTTGGAAATTTTTCAATTTTCCAAAAGGAGTGCTCAAATGAGAAGCAGCAGCCTAGGTGGGGAAGCAGGCGGATCGGGAGAAACACTGCTGTCCTGTATGAGGATAATCATGTAGGTAATGATGATGATGGTGATGAGCAGGTTTGGCAGCTGCAGCATGCAATGTCTCGCTGGTTGTGCTGGCCAGGCAAAAGCAATGATGCCCCTTATTAAGGATAACAACCCGCAACAGGACGAGAACACAATGTGGAACCCTCGAGCGGCGGCGGCGGGCACTAAAAAAAGGACATGTTCCACTTGAAAAATAACAATTTCATTCAATTTTTGATCATTTGCCACCAGAAATGGCAAATCAAAAAGCTATAAAAAACCAGCAACGACAAAAGCCGAGCGACGCACCAAGGACAAGAACAAGGACCGACCCAAAATGTTTGTCCTGCCGCATGCCACAGGAGCCACTTCTTAAGCGGTTCGGGGGCGGTTTTTGCTGTTTTTCTTCCGCTTTATTTTTTTCAGGAAAGGGCCGCTCGTTGGCTTTAAAATTGAAATGACACACGCACAGTGCCCTTCCCACCCCCCCCCCCCTTACCCACTCCGCTCTACCCCTCCTCATCACCCACAACAAACTGTTTGCTTGCATGTGATTGAGTCCTTCGGCCAGCAGGCGGCAGTTCCAAATCCTACACGCAAAATTTATGTTGCATAAAATTTTTCAATGAATTTTATACCAGGAATTTGACTTGGTTTTCCATTTGGCTGTCGTCTTGCCGCGGCAATGTCTTAAATTTTTAAATGACTTTCGTCTACGCACGTGGCATATGGAGCGTAAACCATTCGCATTCGCATCCAGATTGAGTTTGACTCTGAAGCACCCACACTCCACCCACCATACCACCCCGAGAGCATCATCTGAGCAACCACCAACGACAGCAGCCGTATCGAAATGTAAGCCAACCACCGGTCATTCGGCATTGGGATTAAAGGTTTCAGTTTGGGTTCAAGGCTTGGCCTGTGCCTTTGGCTTCGGTTTGTGCCACAATGTTGCATGTTGCAATTGCTGCTCGGCAGGCGGTTCCACTTGCGGTTACCGTTTGGCTGGTGGCTCGTTATGCGAACGTTTCCCTTCTTTTGACATCGCTGCCAATGCGGAAATTAAACTTCCTTCGGGCATTTTTAATTATAATAAAATAATTTTGGGCATGGGCTAAACTATATAGGTTCTTGATTAGATGAAGCAAAATGTTAAGCACATTATTCAAGGCTTTGATGGAACTCAAAACTCTGGATAAGAGCTTATTAAACTGGCTGGACTATGGGGCCCGAAAGATGATAAGAAGAGATAGAGGTTCACAAATTGGAATTGCAATTCAAAAGCAGAAGCTGTTGATGAAGAGCAGGAAGTGCCCAGCTCTTGGTAAGAACAGAATCTGTATTCTAAGGTCGTAGAAGTAGCTCTTATCTGATCTACCAGATATAAGCGAATAAGGTGAAATGTACAAATCAGAACTGAAAACCTTTTTGCTAACATTTCACTCGACTGTTAACAAAAATGTCTGAAGTCTGGCTAAAGCCGTCAAAGTCTTAGTTGGGCGTTATTGACTTGACGCCAAATTCGAGACAGTCCCACGCAGCGGCCACTTCCATTACCATGCAACAGGCAACAGGCAACTGGCAACTGGCAACAGGCAACAGGCAACACGTACGCCAGAGCCAAGGCAACATTGAGGATCATTTTCTTAAAATTAATGCTTACAGAATGCAAGCCTGTGGAGCAGAAACAGCAGCAGGAGCAGGAGTAGACGAAGCTGACTGAGCGTCTGGACATGAAAATGCAAAATCTAAACACTTGATTGTTGTCAATACGAAACAAGCGATGCTCCGACTCAAGCTCCCATACCGACTGCGACTCCGACTCCGACTTTGACTCTGCAGTCGCAGGCGGGTTGGCGGCGCTAAGACACGACGCGATCCGTGTCCATGTCCAGAATGGCAATGGTGGGGCTGGGGATTGCGTACAATTATTGCATTTTGCTGTTAAACAATGCGAAGGTGTTGCGAGGCAGGTAACCACCCGGGGGGCATGTAACGAATTTGTCGCTGTCTGTCGCTGTTTAGCTGCGGCCAGCGAGGTGTGAACAACAGCGGACGCTAAATTTAGACAAGGGGCAGGGGCATGATCCGCAGCAGCCGCAGCATCGGCAGCAGCAGCAGAAGCAAAAGGTGCACTCGGGCTAAATAAATCAAAAATTTGGTTGCAACGCGGATGGGACCACCAGCGTCAGATAAACAACAACAACACAAAAGAGTAAAAAAAATAACAACCACAACAGACAGAAATGTGGCCAGGAGCAGGGGCACTGGCACTAGGACGGGTCATGCAACCTGCTGC